AAAAAAAAAAAGATTGACTCCATATATCATTGTAACAAAAGTAAAAATTAAAGAAAGATTATCAGGTTAAGGAATTTAGGAAATGAGGATTGAGGTTAGATGATTAAACATTAAGCAAGTAGCCAAGTAGAAGCTTACCTCGAGTTGGGCTCAACAATTTGAGTAAAGGAAGATTGATCCTTCTCCGATATGAGCCGTGTGGGTATGTGCAGAACTCGTTTCTTTTGTTCCTCCGTGTTCTGCCAAGGGAGGAAAACAGTTGTAACCCTAGCTGGATGGCCACATTTATGTGCAGAACTTTTGTTAGTTAGAATAATGTTAATTGAACAATATATTCTTTTTAGGAATTCTCAAGCTTTTTAATGACTTAATTGAGGAAATATGGGTCTAGGTAAATTTAAATGAAACTTCTATATATTTTTTTTTTTCGAAATGATAGATATAACTAGGGTTGCAAACGAACCGAGCGGCTCGCGAGCGCTCGAGTCAAAGCTCGACTCGAGCTCGAGTTTGACCAAACTCGAGTCGAGCGAGCTCGAGCCCATATTTTTCCTTGTCGATCGGCTTGAGATACATGTTAAATTACTAAAATAACCCTTATATGTATATGTTAGCACTAGGTCCTAATGGTAATTTTACCTTTCCACTTAAAAATTTTCAAGCCGAACTCGAACCGAGCTCGAGCATTTTGATTTCGAGTCGAGCTCGAGCTGTTGTAATTTTTTATCGAGCTCGAGCTCGAGCCTAAAAAATCGAGCTCCACGAGCTCGAGCAGCTAAAAAAAAAATCAATCCTGCTCGATAAGGCCAGTGCTCGGCTCGACTCGGCTCGTTTGCAGCCCTAATTATAACTCAACTGAATAATTACATAGTTCGGGGGCACACGACCCAAATGCAACAGAACCAAAGCTCCTTAAATATACAAACCACAAGAACCGAGTTTGAGCCTCAACAAGGCTAAGCATAGAACCTGAGATTCAAACTCGAATCTGATCAGTTTTGATATCTGGAGATGGATACTAGTACCCAAGCCAAAATAATTAACCAATGCACCCAAAGGGTCCTAGTTAGTTATCAAAACGCTACTAAGAAAAGGAACAACAGTCAAAAAGCGCAAAAGCTGGACAAAAATGCAAGAATTGATCTGTCGGCACCGATGCAAATTCCATTCAATCAATCACTACTAACCCAATTGTATCCATTTCTGATCTCAGAGTGCTTTGAAAAACCCATTGATTACGGGTCTTCCAAAACCACCATAGTAGGTAAGAGGAGAGTTGTATTTTATCCTCCATGATGGGTGTGAGTTTGGATGAACAGAGGTTAGTCCTGTTAGAGTAGGATACCCGGCGTTCCAATCAAATTGGACGTATTCTACTTGTAAATACAATCTATTGGAATTATATTAAATAATAAGGCATTACTTTATTTTAAGAGTAAGCATTTTGTAATATCCCGAGATATTATCAGTATAGATTACGTTTAATTTCGATATAGTAACGTTATCGTTTACTATTTTCGGAATTAAATTAAGTTTAGTCGGATTACCGAAATCGATTTTCGGCGTACCGTTTACGCCCGAAATAATTTTGGTAATTAAGCGGTATGTTTAATTTAACAATTAAACATCAATTGAGTGATTAATTGGGATTAATCACATGTTTTAACCCTAATAGCCGTGGGTTAAGGATTTATTCTTCAAAATTTTATGAAATAGCCGTAGCATTCCTTAAAGTTGGGAAAATTAATTTTCCTCCTCA